CTGACTGGCCTGGCCCGCTGCCCATGTCCTCTGTAGGAGTCAGAGCTTCCTGTCTTAGGCCAGCTGCACCCTGTCCTGCGCCCATCAAGCAGCCCCACAAGGCTCGCCAGAGAGATTTCCCTTTATCTGCAGAATGTTTCTGTTTGTCACTAAACAGATTCATAATTTTGAATTGGACATGAAATTTTTCACAAGTTCTGAATAATAACTTACAGACTTCCAGTCCAATTGAAACAATCCAGGAAGCCAGTAGAGAAGGCAGGGAAACACTGCAATGAATGGCCTGTGTGACTGATATATGAAAGTGTCATTATAAACACTGCTGTAAGCCACAGGGCCACTACTTACAGGATGGAAGACACCCTCAGTGTGCCCAGGGTGCAGGAATGCATCAACCTTTATAGAAAGAAAAGGCATGCTTTCCTCCCCTTGCCAGCACATAATCCTCCAATGAGTTTTCAGAGGCAGTATATGACACAGAGGAGATTGCTCATCATTCTCCTGAGAAGCAGCTGGTAGACTTGAATTGTGTGCCTTTAGATTGGCAGCACTATTCTTTACCATTAAATCTTCATATTACCTTACCACTGTTGTAGTATGCCGTCAAGTCAGAAATGACCCATAGCTGACCCTCTGGTGGGTTTTCAGAGACAGTTAATCACACAGGAGGAGACTGCACATCCTTCTCCCATGGAGCAGCTGGTGGATTCAAACCACTTGCCTTCAGGATTACACTGCAGCTTCTTGCCACTAGGCCACCAGAGCTCCCTATTAAATGCTTACAAAAATGTAGTTGTGTTGCTCGCTTTCTGAATATGACCTCAAGCTCAAAGGCTGAGCAATGGTCCTCAGTCCACACACACTGTTGGGGCAGACTCAACTGAGCTCAGACATGAATGGCTCTAAAAGTTGTTAGTCTGTGCAGCTTCCCATCAGATGTTTCAGTCTTTGTGGAATGCAACAACAACAATGAAAGTGTTCATTGCAGTACTTAATACTAAAAATGTGAAATAACCGAAATGTCCATTTACAGACAAATGTATTTAAAAATGTGGCATGTTCACATGTGATAACTGAGGTCACATGCTAATTTAGCCATAATTCTTAGTGGCTCAGTGGATGTTCTGTGTTCATTCTCTGCTGTGTGGTGTGAGGTGAGCTGCTGGTCAGCTGAAGGGCATTTCCTTGGAGGTGTGTGGCCTGCCATTCCCTATATATGAATTTCCTGGGCAAGTTGGCTTCCTCTGATTTGCATCTGACTCATTATCCTTGGATATCAGGTTCCTGGAACATCAGCTAGGAGTCTTCCATTTGGCCTGCACATCTCAAGGTTCCCAACTCCTGCAGCCCTGGGAGCTAGGAGTCTGCTATGTGACCTATTAGTTTTCAGTATGTCCATTTCTGAACCCACAAGGGTCAGGAGAAGCCTCCATTCTGAAGTTTAACCATAGAGTTGAGACTTACCAGCCTTCATAACTATGTGAGCCACTTTCTTAAAATAAATCTCTATACATACACATATATAGGGAGTACAGGTGGCCTAGTGGTAAGGAGCTGTACTTCCAACCCAAAGACAGGTGGCTCAGTTCCAACAGCCTCTCCTCATAAGACAGATAGACAATATTCTGCTATTTGATTTACAGCTCTGAAAACCCACAAGAGGGTCAACACTGAGTTGGTTCTTACTAGAAGGTACATAACAACAATCTGGCTGGAGCCGTGGAGGGTTAGTCCACAGGGAGTAATGCTGGTAAACCAAAGGAGGTGCCTCTCTAGTTGTTCAAACCCACCAACTGCTCTGAGGAAGACACATGGTCAATTTCTTCTCATGTGACTTAACAGCCTCTGAAAAACTGTTATAAAGTCAGCTCTGAGTTGGTTCAGACTCAACAGCAGTGAGTGATACATGTATACATATATACACATACATCACTGGATTTGTTACAGTCTAAGAGAATATATAAGCATACTATGATGCCATGAGAGAAATGCAGCCCTGACACACACTTCTACATGGAGGAACCTATATGGAGGGACCTTCAAACATCACGTGGAGTGAAACAAACAGCAGAAGGGTAAATACACCACAATCTCGTTTGTAGAAAAGAAGAAAATATATAGAAACCAAAGATGATTCCTGGTTATAGGGGAGGAGTAAGTGGAAATGTTTGCTTGGCTGTGGACATGGGACCCTTCATGTTGACAGACCTCAGTGACAGAGGAAGGGGGAATTCGCCATCCATTAGCAAAAGTTTACAAACTCAATTGAAAGATCATGAGTAAAGACCAGATGAACTGCAGGAAGATACCAAAAATATCTTCCATGAAGAATGCAAAAGGTGGAGAAAGAAAGACGTCAGAAGAGACTCTGAATATTGCACTAGAGCAGCGAGAAGCCAAAGCAAATGAAAGAAATCAAGAAGTTAAGAAGCTTAACAGAAGACTTCAAAGGGCATCTCAGGAAGATAAAGCAAATTATTATAATGAAATGTGCAAAGAGCTGAAGTCAGAAAATCAAAAGGACAAACTTGTTCGGCTTTTTTTTTTTAAGATGAAAGAACTGAAGAACAAATTCAAGCCTTGAGTTGCAATACTTAAGCATGCTATGGGCAGAATACTGAATGATCCCAGAAGCATCAAAAGATGTAAGAAGTATACAGAGTCACTGTACCAAAAAGAATTCACTGACACAGAAGAATTTCATGAAACATCATATGATCAAGAGGCATTGGTGATAAAGTAGGAAGTTCAAGCTGCTCTGAAGGAATTTGCACAAAACAAGGCCCCAGGCATGATGGAATACCAATTGACATATTTCAACAAACAGATGCTGACCTGGATGTGCTCACCAGGTTGTTCCAAGAAATTTGGGGGACAACTACCTGGTCGACTGACTAGAAGAGATCCATACTTATTCACATTCCAAAAAAAGGTGATAGGACAGAGTGTGAAAATCATTGAACAATATCATTACTATCTCACACAAGCAAGATCCTGGTGAAGATTATCCAAAAACAATTGGAAGAATACATGAATGGAGAACATGTGCAAGTTAGGGATCTTAGCTCAAAGTAGCGAGTGCCAGAGGAACGACTATCTGTGCTTTATTGACTATGCAAAGGCATTTGACTATGTGTATCACAACAAATTGTGGCTAATATTAAGAAGAATGGAATCCAAGAACACTTGATTGTGCTCATGCAAACCTATACTTCGACCAGGAAGCAGCTTTTAGAACAGAGCAAAGAAACAGTGCATGGTTCAACATCAGACAAGGAGTGCATTGGGGATGCATTCTTTCTCCACACATTTTCAATCTACACGTGGAACAGATCATCCAGGAAGTAGGGCTTTATGAGGAAATACGGCATCAGGATTGGAGGAGACTCATCAACAACTTTCGTTATGCAGATGACACAACCTTGATTGCCAAAACTGAAGAGGACATGAATGAAGCCGTTGCTGCAACATGTCAAGGACTGTAGTCTTCAATATGGATTGAAGCACAACATCAAGAAAACAAAGATTCTCACCAGTGGGCCAACTGGCAGTACCATGAAGGAAGGAGAAGAGATTGAGATTGTTAATAATTTCCGTTTGCTTGGTACCACAATCAATACACTTGGCATCAACAGTCAGGAAATCAAAAGACAAATTGCATTTAGGAAAATCTTGCTGTGATGGACCTTTCCTGAGTGCTGAAAAGCACCGTCAGTCTAGAGATTAAGGTACACCTGATTCAAGCCATGATCTTTGCAATTACTTGCTATGCATAAGAGACCTGGACAATAACTAAGGATGATAGAAGAATAGATGCCTTTGAGTTGTGGTGCTGGAGAAGAGTACTGAACATAAAAACAAGTCTGTCCTGGAGAGGGTAAAATCAAGCTGCTCCTTGGAGGCAAGGATTTTGAGGCTCTTTCTCACATATTTTGGACCTGTTGCCTGGAGAGGCCAAAACTTGGAGAAGGACATCATGTTTGGAAAGGTGGAGGGACAGCATAGGAGAAGAAGACCCTGGATGAAATGGATTGCCACAGTAACGAGGGTAATGAGAGTAAGTGTGCCAAAGACAGTGAGACTGGCTCAGGATAGGGCAAGTTTCAGAGCTGTTGTACATAGGGTCGCTATGAGTGGCAGGCAACTCAAAGATACTTAACAACATTATAATGCCTGAATCATTTATAATAAAAAACAAAAGTTAATTCATAAACACTCTTACCTTCTTGTTAAGCAGGACCTCAAAGGTTATGTAAAGATTATCTTTGCATGTAGAAAGCAATCATGTATGTTAAGAAGGTTTTCCTTGTTTCAGACAAAATCTGTTGTAATATTACTTTGATTTTGGTTGGGGTTTTTCCCCCCTAACATTACTTTAAAATGATATATTTTTCTACTTTTAAAATACAGTAAAAGTTCTCAATAACTCATAGTTTGTGCTACAATTACTATATTATTAATAGGAGAAAGGAAAGAAAAGGTACTCAATAACCCAACTTATGTTATTATTACTATATTATTAGTATCAGTGAGAAGCAGGAGAAAGAGAAGGGGGAAATGTAGAATATTAGCAGCTAATCTCAGCTAAAAAACTATTCAAGAATCAAAACGATCTGGAGAAATTGCTGTTATGACTGAGTGGTAGAGGCTCTAGTTTCATTTCATCCTCTGCCTAATAATGAATATTTCATGTCTACACCTACCTATTCCCTAAAAGTTTTACTGTTATGTTGTGTTATATTGTGATTTATGTTCAGGAAATAAGAGCCCTCAGATGTTCCCTGTCTGAGTCAGGACTTTAATTTCACATTTACATAATAGCTGAATGAAAGAGAATCTAGGACAAAAATTTGTTCTGAATCTTTAATTAAAATAGTTCTAGTTAGAAAATTAGCAAAATGCCATGTGGAGAGGCTACTCTGCATTCTTCATTTGCTTTGTTTTGTTTTAGGGGGAGGGCAGATATGAAGACTTTCCCTTTGTAGGCAGGGGACACTCACCATAACATCACCCTTCAGGAGCTGTGCAGGCTCAATTGCAATGCAGACCCTGCTCTGGTTTTCAGGGCCGATGTTGCTTTGGGAAAAATGAGAGGGTTGATCAGCTAGCAAGTGGAAAGAAAACATTTTGAGAAAAGCAACACCATAATTGAAAACTCAGCGAGTGCACTGTATCACCTGACTGACCCACAGCTGAGAGTCCTCTGTGCAAGGTATAAGAAATGACCTGGCCATGCAAAACCGGGTGGGCAGTGGTCTAAAGGGACTTAGCCCCATGCAGCCCTGCTGGTTGGACTTGCAGAAAGAACGTGGTAGGGGCAACTGCCAATGTGTTTTAACTGTGCAGAGCCCAGAGGTCCAGACTATGAGAAAGGCCAGTGCAAGTGCTGACACGAAAACTAACACTCTTTATTAGCTCGCCTTTTATGTCTATAGGATGCTTTCTCAAAACAAAAAAAGAAAAACAAAACAAAATAAATCCCTACAAATGCTGAGTATATGGGGGCCCCAGAGCTGAAATTGGAAGAAGGAAGAAAACAAGTCCTTGTTACAGCACTCTTCCCAATATGTCCACGCCCATATGGCCAACATCCCTGTCTTCCTTCAAAGCCTACCACGCAGACACTTTAAATGGTTGTGAGACAGAGATGACACAGCACCAGGGGTCAGGAGAGAGATTGAGCCAAGAGGGATGGCGTGGCGGCCCGGATTCCTCTGGTGTACCCATGTCCTCAGTCCTTCCACATCCTCTCCACCTGGGACTCATTACTCCAGGGATCAGAACACACTTACTAGATCCCTGAAGTGTACACGGGCTGCATGGCCTGGTAGAGCTTCAAGAAGGGCCGGCACACTGAAAGAGAGGCAGTCAGCATAAGACACCACAGTTGCAGTCAGGGTGCTCAGGCAGTCAGGGAGAGGGGACAGCAAGCACTGGGAGACCAGGAGCCCAAGTGTGTAGCGCCCCCTGGGGTTAAGGGGCCCATGGGGCCCTGAGCTTTATTTTCATCGGAGGCCAATAGGAATCACTGATGAGGCAGCCAAGGAGTCCTACTAGTGGTGACCCACTGTGGATGAGGACTCCCTGACCTCTCCCTCTCAGGGTACTAACAAGGTGCAGCTGGAGATGTCTGAAGTAACAGGTAGAAGGGTCTTTCTCCTCCCAGGCTCTTCTCAGAACCCCTGGCATTGCTGGTCTAGAAGGATGATCCAGGACAGTGGTCCACTGGGGAAACTTCCCGTTCCCTCGTCCTCAGAGGAGATTCCAGGCACATTCAGTCCAGGGAACAAGGATGCCCCTGCATGCCCAGCCCACAGTCACACACTGTTACTCACCTCCGCCTGTGTCAAAGTTGGGGATGCCGTACAGGATGACGGAATGCAGGAACAGTGGCGAGGCATTCATTTTCACGGACCCAGACAAGAGGCCACTGAGGAACTGAACATATCTGCAAAGGACAACAAGCTGTAGCTTTGTGGCTGCTGTCCCCACCCCAGGCTTAAATAGGGATAATGGGTAAAGGACAACAAGCTGGAGCTTCAAGGCTGCTATCCCCACTCCAGGTGTAAATGGGGGTAATATGTTAGGTTTGGTGCATGGAAACCCAACCTATTCCTGGCTCTTAGAGAAGACACCACATTGTGACAGCAGTGAACTGGGTCCTGGAGGGGCCACCATGCTGTGACACCATGGTGAGCTGGGTCCTGGGGAAGTCACCACGCTGTGACAGCAGTTAGCTGCATCCTGAAGGGGACACAATGCTGTGACAGCTGTGAGCTGGGTCCTGAGGGGGCCACCGCACTGATACAACATGGTGAGTGTGTGGCAGTCTTTAGTAGACCTCCCTACAGAGCCACAGGCACATACTTGGCATTTGGGGAGATTTCCCAATGATACAAGCCTTTCCTGAGTAACCATGGTGCATTGTCATAAACAGGTCTCCTGGCTAGGAGCTCCTCATGCTGGGCCTTGATGAGGAGTCCATGCACAGAGGCCCCCGGGTCCTGAGGGCACCCCCAGGAGCCCACAGTCTCCAGAAGTAAGGGCAGGACAGAGATTCCTGTGATAATGCCACCATCATCCTGGTTGATTCTCCATATTCCCCACCTGAGCAGTCAGCACATACACAAACCCCCTCCCCCCCAATTCCCATTGTGGAGTCCCTGGATATGTGGATGTCTCTGCCCTCCACACTGGAGTACTACGCCATTGTGTACTCTGAGAGGTGAGTCTCCGAGGACAGACGTGGGATCACCCTGAGGAATCTATTCACAGCAGGTGGATCCCCATCAGGGACGGACACCTGCAGGGCCCCCTCTCACTACACCAACCTGGCTTCTGTCCAAGTCCCCTCCTGTCTGCTGCTATCCACATGAAATTGTCCCCACACCAAAAAGTAAACCATCTGCCTCAAAGACAGAGCACGTGTTCTCTTCCTCTTCTCTGACAAAGTCTGCTAATTAAGCATGGCTGGTGGTGTGAGGCCTGACTAAAGCACCTTCTGTGCACACGGGGTTATGGGGAAAGAAGTTTACAAAGCAGAGGCCCAAATCTTTGCAGTCCTGCAAAAGTGACAATAATGGAGATGGTAGCACAGAAGCCATGCATCTCTCTACATTGTGTCCTGCTCTCCCTGGAAACACCATTTCCCAGTCACATTTCTGCCATGGGGAGCTCCTTTCCCACAAACCTCTTTCTGGGGCCTCACAGGCCCTCCTGTGTATGTGCAACCTGTCTAGAATGGAATACCTTGTTCTCAATTTATTTATTCTTTTGTCTAGCCTGTCAACACACTACAGTGCTGGTAAGGTGGAAAATAAGAAATGAACCAAAAATAAAACTCCCAGGTCTATTTATCTATATCTTTCTAATGCTTACAGCAGCACCTACAAACAGACACGCTGCAACCAGTAACTGGGGGACGGGAGGCTTGCATTGTTGGTAAAGGACCATCTACACCACCTACTCCACTAGGCCCAGACCATCTCTGGGCCAATAACAGACCCATGTGAACCCTGAAATGGTCTCTAAGCTCAACCTTACTTATGCGGGGAGAGGGGAGATCTCCAAATAATTCAGATAGTAAAAATTCAACCAAAAAAGTTTATGGGAAACATTATTAAAAACAACAACAAACAAACAAACAAATCACAAAGCCACTATTCTCTTAGGAAAATATTAGAGGAAAAGTTATTCTTTTCTTTTTATCCCTCAGTGAAAACAAGGCATTTCAATAAGTCCACTTTGCTCGTGACAAACTATTTCCTCTTGTTTAAAAGAACATGACACTGGGCAGTGATGATCTTCAAAGGGCACATCACCAGGTCTGCTAGTTTAGCTGGCCAGGGCTACATTGTGGGGCTCATCACCAGATGGTGGCCATAGCATGAGGCCAACCACCAAAGAGCAGCCACTGTATGAGGCTGTCTATTAGAGGTCAGTAATGGCATGGCATGGAGATCATCACCAAAGGATGGCCATGGCATGGGACTGACAACTAGAAGGCAGCCATGGTGTGGGGCTGACCAATGGAGGGCAGCTATGGTGTGGGTCTAATCACTGGAGCAGCAATCACAGTATGGGCTCTTCATTAGAGGATGGTCACAGCATGGGGCTGACCACCAGAGGCAGTCCCAGCATGGAGCTGACAAACAGAGGGTGGCCACAGCATGGAACAAACCACTAGAGGGTGGCCATAGCATACAGCAAACCACTAGAGTGTGGCCATTGTGTGTGGCTGAGCACTGGAGGGTGGCCATGATGTGCTGCTGACCACTGGAGAGTGGTCACATCATGAACTTGACCACTGAAGGGTAGTCACAGGATGGAACTGATCACTGAAGGGTGTTCACAGCATGGAGTTGACCACCAGAGGTGGCCACAGTGTGGGGCTGACCACTGGAAGGTGGATATAGTGTAAGGCTGATCACTGGAGGGTGGTCACGGAGTGGGGAACACCACCAGAAAGTGGCTTCACTCCTTCCTTGCCTGGCATTTCTTCGCTGACAAAATTCCATCACTCTACATTTTCCTTTGAAATAGAAAAGAGTGAAATGACTATTCACTCTTAATCTTCTATCTTTTCCCTGTGATGATTAAGCATTCAGTGGTTAACCTGAACCTACCATGGACTCCATAGGAGAAAAACATCCGGAGGCTTTCTTATCAACGACACAGAAGTGCTATGGGGCTGATCTGCTTTGTCCTATAACATCCTTGTGAATAGGAATTAATATGAGGAAACAAAACTAACAGGAAATACTAGTAATTGCAAGACTCCCTGGTTTTCGCAAAGGGAAATGAATCAGATTTTCCTGTCTCCATCTCTGTACATAAAGAATTCTAGTGGCTTAGACATGTTGCACTGTTAGCCAAAAGGTGAGCAGTTCTAACTCAGAGAAAGATGAATAGTCTCCTGTAAAGATTTCCAACCAAGGAAACCCAACAGAAGAATGCTAAGAAACAGAATGGATTCTACTTCAATGGGCTGCATTGGATTGGTGCTCCATGTGAGAGTAGGAGTCGTCTCCCTGCAGCAAAGTGAGATAAGCGTGCTAGGCACAGGGGAGAGTCACCCAGCTGCAGTGCCCTAGGGAGGACACACCTGGACACTCTAGTCTGAAATCCTGTGTTCCTTGAGTCATCGACGCAAAGAGGATGTTCTGTTTTTGTAGTTATGTGCTGTCGAGTTGCCTGCAACTTACAGTAAACCGAAGTACAACAGCCCTAAACTCTGGTCTGTCCTCTGCCAATCATACCGTCTCTGATACACCCATCTCGATTACCTCAGTCACTGAATCAATACACTTCATAGAGGGCCTTGCCCTCCTGCGCTGTCCCCCCACCCTGCCAAGCATGCTGTCCCTCACCAAGGACCAGTCCCTCCTTACAACATGTTCAAAGTATGTTAGACAAAGCCTCAGAATCCTTGCCTCCAAAGAGTCGCCTGGTTTAACCCTTTACAGGATGAACCTGTTTGTTTTCCTAGCAGTCCATGGTACCAATACTCTTCTACAGCACCACAGCTCAAAGGAATGAATTCTCCTTCTATCCTTCCTAATCATTGTCCAATTTTCTGATGCATAACAAGTGATTGCAAAGACCATGGCCTGTATCAGATGCACCTTAGTCTCCAGAGAGACACCATTACTCTTCAGGACTTTGGAAAGGTCCCTAACAGCAGACTTTCCCATTGCAATACGTCTTTTAATTTCCTGGATACTATTGCCAAGAGTGTTGACTGTGCAGCCAAGCAAACTAAAGCTGTGAACAATCCCAATCTTCACCATCCATCCTGATGCTGCCGATTGGTCCAGTGGTGAGAATCTTTGTCTTCTTGACATTGAGCCTCAGTCCATACTGAAGGTTGCAGTCCTTGACCGTCTGCAGCAAGAACGTCAGGTCCTCCTCACTTTCAGCAAGTAAAATATTACAAGGAAATGTGCAAGAAGTTGGAGTCAGAAAATCAAAAGGGCCTAACTCATTCAGCATTTCCTCAGCTCAAGGAACTGAGGAACAAATTCAAACCTCGAGTTGCTACAATCAAGGATGCTTTAGACAGAATATTAAATGATCCAGGAACTATTAAAAGAAGATGGAAAGAATATACTGAGTCACTGTATCAAAAGGAATTGGCAGACACAGAAGAATTTCATGAAACAAAACATGAGCAAGAGCCTTTGGTGATGAAGGAAGAAGTTCAGGCTGCTTTGAAGGAAATAGCCAAAAAATAGGGCCCAAATAGATGGTATACCAATTGAAATATTTCAGCTAACAAATGCTGCCCTGGACGTACTCACCATGTTGTGCCAAGAAATCTGGAGAACAACTACTTGGCCAATTGACTGGAAGAGATCTATATTTGTTCCCATCCCAAAGAAGGGTGACCCAACAGAGTGTGGAAAATATAGAAGAGTATCATTGATTTCACATGCAAGCAAGATTCTACTGAAGATTATCCAAAAATGACTGGAACATCAGCAGAGAACTGCCAGAAGTCCAGGCTGGGTTTAGAAGGGGTTGTGGTACTAGGGATATTGTAGCTAATGGCAGATGGATCTTAGCTGAATGCAGGGAATACAAGAGGAATGTATATCTGTGTTTCATTGACTATGCAAAGGAGTTTGACTATGTGGGTCATAAACTGTGGCTGACTCTGAAAAGAAAGGGAATCCCAGAACACCTGATCGTGCTAATGTGAAACCTATACTTGGACCAAGAGGCAGTCGTCAGAACAGAGCAAGGAAACACTGCATCGTTCAAAATTGGGAAGGGCACATGCCAGGGATGTGTACTGTCTCCATAACTTTTCAACCTGTATGCAGAGCAGATTATCTGAGAGGCTGGGCTCTATGAGGAGATGCGTGGCGTTAGGATTGGTGGAAGATCTATCAACAATCTGCATTATGCAGATGACACACACAGTGGACATAGGCCTTCTGTAATCCC